AATAAAATTAGTACCGAAAAAGACATAAATATATATGGAACAAATTACTATTTTAATAATTATGGAAGAAATCTTATTGCTATAAAATTGTCACAAATATATACGGAAGAAATCTTATTGTCAAAAATAGTAATTTTATTGCATAATAGAATTTGTCAATTATTAAACATTGTTTATGGTAATTATTGTATAACATTTAATACTAAAATTATTATGTAGAATTTTTATTTATTTATTTTTTTTTTGAATGCTTATGTAGAATTTTTATAATTAAGGTATAATATTATTAAATTAAATTTATTAAAAGTAATGTCTCCACAATATAAAATAAATTATACTTGTCTTAATAATTATTTATTAATATAAATATACAATTATAAATTTGTACAAAAACTTCTGGTTAAAAAAAATCTCTTCATTTTCTTTTTCTCTTTCCTCAGCATCACATTCTCAATCTCTCTAGAAAAAGACAAGTATGATGAGAAAATGCCTTCATCTAAACTGTCCTCACCCCTCAATTCGATTTATCTTTTGTTTGATTGCTGTTTTGCCCAAGAACCAAATAAACTCATAACGCTACTTGAATTACGGGGGAATGTAGTTAGAAAAGGTAGAAAATTCATTATTCTTCTTTGCTTCACTACCTCATTATATCAAGTCACAATATTAGTGTTTCTAATAAGCATATATGTTTTCTCTTATATTTTTAATGTAGACTCTTAGAATATATCATTGTGAAGTTGAAGATCTGATTTTACCAGAGAAATTAATTTAATGACGGTATATAATATACCCACTAATAAATATTCAGTAGTACTAAAAGTATTACTTTGATTTTTTGTAAATAAGATATAATATTATTAAATCGAAATAATTAAAAATAATGTGTTCATAGTACAAAAGATTTTATAATGATAAATTTTTATTGCCTAATAGAATTTGTCAATTATTAAACATTATTTATGGTAATTATGCTAAATTTACAAAATCAAATAATATCTCAAAATCAACGTAGTACTTAAAACTAAAATTACTATACAACAATATTTTCCTCAAAATAACAAATAATTAAACTTTATTCCTTCTCAACTTGAATTCTTCCCTAATTCATATCCATGTTCACCTGTATAAATAATTTTACACAAAAACAGAATGTAAACAAAAATTAGCATAAGCTAAATAAGTTTTACTTCACCCCGTAAAATAATGGCTTGAATTTTTTTTTTTTTTATTTTCAAAACTCATATAATTTCATACTTTTCCAAAATACATGTGGAGTTATGCATTTCCTTGTATGGAGAATAAATAGTTATTTATGGAGAAATAACCAAACTTTTTGAAATCCACTTTGAAACTGAACTAAAACCTATGTGCACACTTCAGAGGATTCAAAGCCACTGGGTAATATATGATCCAAGCAGTAAAGTTTTCCTACCTACTACCTGAATCATAACTTATGTGATACACTCTCATGGGATTCTAAGCTCAATGAGTAGTAAATAGTCCAAGTAAACAGTACTCGCTCTTACTTGGACACCACACAATATATTATTTTCTCAAAATTTTATTATTTCTCCACAAATAAATACTTTATCCACAAAAATATAATTTTCTCCAGAATATATAATTTTCTCCAAATATATAATTCTCTAAAATATAATTATAGTCCATAATCAAATATTAATACAATTTCACAATACTACTATGTATACAACACCAAAAATTTCAAGCCAAGTATTTACATAACGCACGAGTTCGACAAATCCAAAACTCATTCTCGATATTTCGAGAATCACCACTCACAATATTACCATTTATCGATAATTGTACCTGTGTTCACATGAATAACATATATCATATAATATCAATACATACAATACTCGGGGAAAATAATAATTTTGGTGAATATAAAATCTTACCCTCGAAGGCAAACTTTCTATCAACCTTAATAGCATCCTAACCACCTTGATAAGAAACCTGTGAATCAAATAAATCCAATAATAATAATAACCGAATCATATTATTCATTGATCATCATCATCAATCTCAACAAACTTAGATTCAAACAAAAGAATTTGGAGAGTAAAAACAATTACCTGAAGTAGAGATTAAGTGAATGAGTTTTGCTAGGATTAAAGAAGACATAGGAATATATTGAAAATCACGAAGAACCAGTTGTGTGAGGAAAGATGAATGAATGTCAAAGTCTATAAATTCGTATTTATAGGTGAAAAATAGTAATTCGAAAGGAAAGTATAATAATTTATTTAAAAAATATAGAAAGTAAAGTAAGGTAATGAAATTATATTAGTATATATAGATTAAATTAAATATTAAGTGTATATAATGTCTATATATATATATATATATATATATATATATATATATATATATCACACGTATATATAAATGCATGAATATATATATATATATATATAGTTTTTTATATTTATAATTATTATTTCCATAAACAGAATAAATATGAATTTACATAAATGGTCCTAAATTTTGGAAAAAAAATTAGTTTGGAGGATTTTACTTTTATATAGATATATAAATATATAGATATATAGATATATATAGATATATAGATTTTATTTTATACTTGAACAATAATATTTTTATTATACTTGAACAATAATATTATCAATTATATTATATTATATTATAGAATATAATACCATATATAATATTACCAATTAATAGATTTTATTTAATTTCTATTTGACAATTACTTACCAAATAAGTTTTACTACAAAAGTTTTGGGGGGGGGGGGGGGGGAGGGGGGAATTTGTTAGGAGGATTTTACTTTTATATATATATATATATATAGATGTTGTTGAAGCTAGCTTGTTGTAAACACTATAATATCTTTGATGTGTGTTCTAACTCTGCATTTTTCAATATCGAAGAAGTTGATTTTTTTTTCTGAAAAACTAGTGGAGACAAAGAAAAATAGTGTATATTATTAGTTTTTTTCTTGGTGAAATAATTAACTTTAATATTATCGGTGGCAAGTGCAAATGTTGAAAGAGCCAGAATAGATTGCACATTCGAATGGAAAATAACTTGATGAATGACTATTTGGTTACTTTTATTGAAAGGGGTGTGTTTGAAAGCATTGTTGATAAAGAAAAAAATTATACAACACTTTTCAAAATACGAAAACGCGTTGTGAACAATTGTAAAATGAAGATATTTGTTTATAAGTGAAATTTATATTTATATTTCTATGTTATTAAAAGTACTATTAAATTTAGTATATTAACACCACTGAATTTGAATCTTAATTCTGACCCTAACAAGTAGAGGGTATATATACATTGCAATGTGGTAGCTCAAATTTGCATTGTTGTTGATGCTAGCTTGAACTTCTTGGAATCCAACATAAGCCAAAGAAGAATTATTTGGGTGCAAAACGAAATAATGATTAATGGAAGGGTGAGATAATCTTGCGAGGAAAAGGGAGGAGAATGGTTGTATATGGGCACGGCCGCACGGGTGTTGTGTCCCGGAGGGGGAGAGAGGATCTTCTTACCTTTTCTTCTTTTGGCTATCATGGTGGGAAAGAGTTGTTACTTTTCTTCTTTAGGCTACCATCCAAACTTAGGTGAGAAAAGGGATTATATTGTATTGTAGGAAGAGTGACACATTATTTGATGTGTTTACTTTTGAGTCCAAATTTCAAAACAAATATAAGAATGTCGTACATTGTACAATGCAGCAATTTCTTCACCACTTCAATCCTTTTCTTTCTTAATTTAATTATTTGTATTATGAAAAGACAAAAAAACAAGACTAGTGAAAAAAAATAAAGATGAGTGATAAAATAACTCGTTCTTTGAAATCAACCAAGTTGATTATGGTATTCTTGTGATTTTGTGGCTGCTAAAAATGGCCCAGTTTGTTGTCTGAATGATCCTCATTTGCAGGGTGTGTGATTAAATTAGCTCATGCTTAAGCTAGAGTCATATACTTTCTCAACCTACTAAAACACAAAGAGCTAATAACGCCTCCATTGAGGCTCGAACTTACAATCTTTCAAATGGAAGTCCAACCCGGGTACCATTGGACCACATAGTCCACACTTATTTAATGAAGTTTAATGTAGCTTTTCTTTCAAAAAAAAATGATAAAATAACAAAATTATATAAGTTCATGTGATGTCTAAATTTTACATAGTAACTACATCTACTGTAGCATAAAAAAAAAAAAAAAAAAAAAAAAAAGTTACCGTCCAGGATAAATTTTAAAATAAACAATGAGGTACAACTACAAAAGTCCATGGTGCATTATTTTTCACTTAAAAGGGGATTGAATTACTAGGGTAAACATAGTTTGGACCTGTATATGAACTTTTATAGTATTAATTAACACTAAGTGTATGTATCGTGTTATTAGAAATGATTTTCAATATGACCTATACAATGTACAATCACATATCATACAAGATGTTATTAGAATAAATCCAATACAATACATAATTTGTACCAAGTACTATTGAAAATCATTACCAATAAGAGCATCTACATCAAAGGATATTATTGAATTTTTGCAGATCAATAAACCAAGGAGGAGTTTTTAATAAGTGTGGAGAAGAATTTATTTGCTAGTCATTTCTCTTGCAAGTTTAAGTTTATTGTGGGGATCACCATGTGAGAGAAAATGCATTGCTACATTGAATCAATGCGCATAACGCGCAGGAAGCACGCCTAGACAAGCGTGTGCACTGCAACGCACGCTGGCACGTTTCCGATTACTTAAAAATAAAATGTCATGCTTTTTTTTTTTTTTTTTTTTTTTTTCTTCTTTCTTCTCTTTGTTTACTCTCTTTTCTTGTAAGCTCATAAAAAACCGTGAATAATCTCTAACAACCGATACAATACATGATTGATTGTATTGAGTACAATGGTGGCGATCAGCAATCTCCACCCCACACAATATAATTGTTACAGTGTTGAACCCAAGAAACCAACTTGCTACTTCGCTAGCCATCCAATTTGCTAGAAACTTGACTTGTATTATAAGGGCATTATAGGAGTTCAATTGTAGATAGGTCTCGAATCTAGAGATTACAGAACAGATAAATCCCCAAGGTTATATAGTTTACTAAGGAATCTGAAATCAGCCAAATAAATTACAAGTTTTCATCCCTGGAGAGAAGTAGGCGAAATTAAGAGCAAGTCAGCAGGTGAGATTTGAACTTCTCCAGCTCAGTAATAACCTCATCCTGTGGCCTATAAATGATGTCCATCATTCTCCATATCTGCAGGATAATTCAAAGTTAAGAAACAGAGACTGCCAAATTGACTCTACATTGCCAACAATATAAAACATGTAAAACAATGACAGCCTGTTTTTGGGGATTGGATTAGGGGCGGGGTTGACGTTTATGATAAAAAAAAAAATACCCGAGGATTTGAAGCACATGCCGAGTATAATAAAAATACTGATGTGAAATTCTAGCTTTAATGCATGGATAATCATCAATTATGATTGACTTAACATCTTTATGTTTGATAGGTTAATGCAGCATTCTAATATATACAATAGGCAAAAAGTGAGGTTTTCACCTGCAAAGTGCCACCTCCACCAGTGCTTTCACCATCATCAGAGACGCTAACAATTGTCCACGGGTCTGATGCATTCCAATGGAAGTCAACCACCTTATCCCTGAATCCATCAACAGAGACACCACATCATAACAAAGTCTAATAAATTGTCAAACTGAAAGAAGTGTAAAGTAGACAAATGTTGGTGTAAAAATTGATTTTAAAATAGATGCATAATTTTGGTAAGCAAGCAGTTCTCTCACTGACAATAAGAGCAGGCAATGTTAACTAAAGGTTTACCCAACAATTGGAAAAAAGATGGAGAAAGAAAGAAAGAGATTATGTGAATCGGGAAGTGTTAGAAGGTTGTTAGAGGAGTTCTTCTAGCTAGTCATTTGAAATTTGAAATAAGTGGTTGGGGTTTCATATTAGCTTGTATATAAGTGTAGGTTCCCTGTACTCATTGTAACACAGTATTTTCACTATCTAAATATACACTTCACCATTTAGAGTTCAACATGGTATCAGAGCAGTAGATGTGGGTGGTGGGCTTTGGTCGGAACGAGGAGGCGCCGCCGCCGCTGGAAGGAACGGAGCAGCCGTCGGAAGTTTCACGCGCCGCCGCACTCCCCGAGCTCCGACGCCACGCGCCGGTGCGTGCGACGTTTTCCGGCCTCGCCTCCGGTCGCCGCCGACGCGGCTAGCTCCGTCTCCGTGCGCCCGACGCTTCTGTAGCAATATCCCCGTCCGTTGTTGAGGGGATTTGGCGTGGGCAGTGTGTTTCCAGAACTGAATCTGCGTGGTTTGCTGCCAAGTTGCTGCCAGATCTGGGTTTTGCATAAAAGAGAAGTCTGCACCTCCAGGTTGGTTCTTGTGTGTTTATTATGGCAGAAAATAGGACTATTACTGTGGTGTCAACTCAATCTAAATTGGTTGATTTGGTGTTGGCACCGGATGGGTCCAATTTTGGGGAATGGAAGTTTTTAGTTGAAGTGAACTTGAAGGGTATGGGTAAAGCTGGACATTTAATTGAAACATATCCGGATGACCCTACCAAAGCCCAAGCATGGCAGAAAGATGATAACGCCCTGTTTTCGCGTATAATAAATTGTATTGATAGGAAGATAATCCTATCTTTACAGCACTGTAAGAGTGCGAAGGAAGTGTGGGATTTAGTGAATAAGTGGTTTAGCGGGGCAAATAATTTGAGGAAGTTAAATCAGTTATCCCAGGATGTTCATCGACCGTCTCAAAAAGGGCGGGACATCAAGGATTACTATTATGACTTCAAGAATGTGAGTGAGGCATTGTGTGCTGCTATGCCGATTACTGATAAAGTGGATCAAATGAAAAAACAACGTGATCAGTTACATATTTTTAGTTGGATTTCTAGGTTGGATAAGGAGTATGATGTTTTGAAATCACAATTATTGGGGAATAAGGAATTAGACTCGCTCGACCAAGTTTTTTCTATGGTTCAAAATGCGTCAGTGAACCTTGGTACTGATAGTACGTTGGAGAAACAAGTCTTTTTCTCACAGGGAGATAGTGGGACTGATAGTGCCAATAGTCGAGGAGGTCGGTCCAGGGGACGAGGTAGAGGGCGCGGAGGAGGTCGAGGGCAAAGGGCTTGCTATAATTGTGGTGATCCCGGTCATCTGCGTAACCAATGCCCACAGCTCTCCGACCATAGGAGATTTGCTAATTCTGCCTCTAGACCAGAAGGGACGGTTGTGATAACTGAAGAAGATATGGCTTTGTTTAATCAGTTAAAGCTGTCTTCCTCGCAGTCTCCAGCTAGTCCAGGGTCATTGCCGTCTCCGTCAGCTACCTTTGTTCAAACAGGTAATCCTATTGCTTGTGTTTCCTCCTCGTCTCGACAGTGGGTCATTGATTCTGGAGCCAGTGACCACATGTCAGGTAATCTAAGTATGTTTTCCGAATATTGTTCCTTTAAATATGGTCCTACAGTTACCTTGGCATATGGTTCATCCACCTCTGTTTTAGGTAAAGGTAGTGTGAATGTTAGTTCGTCGTTACCTCTCACTTCTGTGTTATATCTCCCAAAAATTCCCATTCCATTTATTGTCAATTAGTCAAATTACCCAGGACCTAAATTGTTGTGTCATGTTCTTCCCTGGATATTGTCTGTTTCATGATCTGTTGACGAAGACGATTATTGGTAAAGGGAAGGAGGTCGGTGGGTTGTACGTGTTAGAACGGCTGTCCAAAGATTCTGGAAGTGTTCCGGTTGATTTATTGGGAAATATGTCTCCGTTGCAGTTGCACTCCCGGTATGGTCACCCGCCTTTGTCTGTCTTAAAGAAGTTGTGTCTGGGGTTAGAATCTCTGTCTGACTTGCAATGTGAGTCATGCGAGCTTGCTAAGCATTGTCGGATACCATACCCTCCTAGAGTCAATAATAGAGTCGAGTCTTTATTTCAATTAGTTCGCTCAGATATATGGAGGCCATGTCGAGTAGTATCGAAATCTGGGTTTAAATATTTTGTAACGTTTGTAGATGATTTCTCTAGACACACTTGGCTATACCTCATGAAATTTAGAGATGAGTTGTTTGGGATCTTTTGTAATTTCTATGCGATGGTCAAAACTCAGTTCAATAAAATGATACAGGTTTTGCGGAGTGATAATGGGACTGAGTATTTTTCTCGTTCCTTCTCGAGTTATATGAGTCAGAATGGGATGGTACATCAGTCGTCTTGTGTCAGCACTCCCCAACAGAATGGTGTGGCAGAACGTAAGAACCGCCATCTGTTGGAGGTTACTAGGGCCTTGTTGTTTCAAATGAAATTCCCTAGGGTTTACTGGGCAGATGCTGTTCATACGGCGTGTTTCTTAATAAACCGCCTACCTACAAGGGTCCTTGGGGGTCAGAGTCCTTGTCATTTCATCTATCCGTCCAAACCGTTGTTCTGCCTTCCTCCTAAAGTGTTTGGGTGTACGTGTTTTGTCCAGGATGTTCGTCCTCAAAGAGGGAAACTCGATCCTAAGTCATTAAAATGTATTTTCCTGGGATATTCAAGTACTCAAAAAGGGTATCGATGTTACTCCCCGGATTTGGGGCGATACTTGGTTTCTGCAGATGTCTCATTCTTCGAGAACACTTTATTCAGTGAGGAGCTCCCTGGTTCATCTGGTTGTAGTTCCGAGACGGATGATTTTCAGACATATGTTGTTACTATCCCGGACTCCGTAGGAGTGGAGTCTAGGCCTCCTGTTACGCAGGTTTATATCAGGCGGCCCAGAGAAGTTGATACGCATGCAGCCCCACCGGTTCCACCAGTAAATCCTCCCTTACCAGAATCTTCGTCGACAGACCAGGATGTTCCTATCACCGTTCGGAAAGGTAAGCGTAGTTGTGCTCGTCCCATTCCGTCCTTTGTGTCATATACCAATTTATCGGCGTCTTCACGTGCTTTTGTGTCCCAGTTAAAGTCTGTTCCTGTTCCAAAATCTTTGAGTCAGGCTATGTCCCATGATGGTTGGAGGCGTGCGATGGTAGAGGAGATAGACGCCCTTGAGGAGAACCAGACGTGGGATCTAGTGCAGCTTCCCCTGGTAAGGTTGCTATTGGGTGTAAATGGGTGTATGTGGTGAAAATGAACCCGAATGGGTCTGTGGCTAGACTCAAAGCACGCTTGGTAGCCAAGGGGTACGCCCAGACGTATGGTATAGATTATACCGAGACGTTCTCTCCAGTGGCCAAGTTAACATCTGTGCGGATATTTATCTCTTTGGCAGCCTCAAGTCATTGGCCCTTGCATCAGCTTGATGTGAAAAATGCTTTCTTACATGGCTACTTGCGTGAGGAAGTTTATATGGAGCAACCACCGGGGTTTGTTGCTTAGGGGGAGTCTGGGAAGGTGTGCAAGCTGAAGAAGTCGTTATATGGGCTGAAGCAGTCTCCGCGTGCGTGGTTTGGGCAGTTTAGCAAGGCGGTTGTTGAGTTTGGAATGCAGAGAAGTGCATATGATCATACTGTCTTTTACAAACATACTAACTATGGGTGTGTTTTGTTGATAGTATATGTAGATAATATTGTAATTACAGGCAGTGATACAAGTGGGATCGAGGCACTCAAGTCCTTTCTCGGGTCTGAGTTTCATACTAAAGATCTGGGAGTGTTGAAGTACTTTCTGGGAATTGAAGTTGCACGCTCTAAGAAGGGCATATTCCTCTCACAGAGGAAATATGTGTTGGACTTGCTCGGTGACACGGGGCTGCTTGGGTCAAAACCGTGTGATACGCCCATGGATCAAGGTGTGAAGTTATTGACAGGAGAAGGGGAGCCGTTTGAAGATCCGGAGCAGTACAGGAAGTTAGTAGGAAAACTGAATTATCTCACAATTACCTGTCCAGATATTGCGTTTCCAGTGAGTGTGATTAGTCAATTCATGAGTGCACCGACCCAGACACACTGGGAAGCGGCGGTTCGGATTGTGAAATACTTGAAAGGTGCTCCTGGAAAAGGGATTCTTTATGCTGATCACGGGTATATGCGTGTTGAAGCGTTCTCCGATGCAGACTGGGCTGGTTCACCGGGTGACAGGAAGTCTATGACAGGTTATTGTGTGTTTGTAGGAGGCAACTTGGTCTCGTGGAAGAGTAAGAAGCAGAATATGGTGTCGCGCTCAAGTGCAGAATCGGAATACCGGGCTATGACTCATGTGGCAAGTGAAATAATCTGGGTGCGTAATATTTTAAAAGAAGTGGGTGTTGAAGTGGAGTTACCAATAGATTTGTGGTGTGATAACTGTGCTGCCATACACATCGCAAATAATCCAGTCTTTCACGAGCGGACGAAGCATATTGAAGTTGACTGCCACTTTATACGGGAAAAAGTGGAGCAAGGACTAATATCACTTACACACGTTCGGAGTGGTGATCAGCTGGCTGACATATTCACGAAAGGATTGTGTAAGAATCGGGTTTCATATATATGTAACAAGTTGGGCATGTTTGATATCTATGCTCCAACTTGAGGGGGGTGTTAGAAGGTTGTTAGAGGAGTTCTCCTAGCTAGTCATTTGAAATTTGAAATAAGTGGTTGGGGTTTCCTATTAGCTTGTATATAAGTGTAGGTTCCCTGTACTCATTGTAACACAGTATTTTCACTATCTAAATATACACTTCACCATTTAGAGTTCAACAGGAAGTGTCAGATAAAGAGATAGACATGATGATTCAAGATGTGTTAAGTTTCCCAGTAAAGGTGAGCAGAATACATGTATTGAGCAGATCTCTCAAAGTGAAAGTGGCAGATTATTGAGCCTGGATAGAATTTAACATGGAGCAATCCGCCATAATAGATAGGAAATCAGATTAGTAATTAAAAATCTTAGAACCTGTGTCCAGCATGACGGAAAAACAAGCCTTGAGGGGAATTTGGAGGTTTTTTCCCAGGATCCTCCTTACCAATCTGAGCAAACATTTTTGTCAATAAACAATATGTAACTACTAATATAAAAGCATGTAGCATTTTGAAAATGAAACATTAATACTTTTCAACCATTAAAATGTCAACTTTCTAAATCAGACATTATTTTTCAGTTTCCAAAACTCAAAAGAATATGAAAAACTATGTATAAACTCAAACCTTTTCATGATCCCAGATATTCAAGATACCATCCTCAGCAGAACTTCCGAAGACAGATGACTTGTCTGGAGACCACTGCAATATACAAGTTTGCTAAATCGCCAGTGGAAATAGCAGGCAAACTGAATCCTTCAAATATTAGAGGGAAATCTGACATGTCATATAGTGTAATACCTGGACACATAGAACAGCAGCAGAATGACCTTCAAATATGTGGATAGGAGAACCTACTCCTCCAGAAGTGAGTTTACGGCGGTCAAACATACGGACGGTGTTATCAGCAGACCTGAAGAAGAATGGTACTCCAGTGTTTCAGAGAGATTGTATATACTAATGACAACACTAGCTCAACAGTGTAATGGTATGTTAACACCAGATGAAAGTCATAAAAAAATGATGTTTCCCTATAATTACAGAAGAATTTAACCAGCAAAGACCTGAAAGGAGCAGCTAGTATACATTACCCAGTCAAGATAAGATTTACATCAAATGGATTCCAATCAACACAATGGAGATCAGCACTGTGAGCCTTCTCAACCTGCCAGCAAATAACAAAATCCTAAAGACTAACCAGATATAAAATCTAATTCCAACAGTAAGGTTAACAGCAAAGAGAATGTAATATCTTCACAAGAAACAGAGAAAAAAATAAAACATGAAACAGTGTATAACAATCAAGATATCTTAGCAAAATCAGATTTGTCAAGTGACTGGTAGTAAAACAAAGGTGAAAGGTTTAGACGAGAGATCAAAGTTCAACTTTCAGTAAACATTTTCAGAACCTTCTCAATCAAACTCTAGAAAATGGTTGTTGCTAGATTATAATCCCAAAAACACACTCAAATGGTGAAGTGTCATGGGTTGTTAACTGTATAGAAAGAGCACACTTGATACTAAATAAGAGAACTATTTCGATACTTTTAATTGAAGGATAATGTATTCATGATTCAAGTTGCAGCCCAGGAAAGTGCATGCTTAATATTGCCGTAGATATTTAGTCATATTTTACAAGTATAAACTGAAGCTCTAGAAGCAGCAAAAGCAAAATGAGGAGAATAACCTTCATGACGGGAGCTGAACCTCGTCTTGCATCCCACAATATTAAGCATGAATCATCACCAACACTACAGAACTCCTGTGCACTATATCATTAAATAAAAAATCAGTAAAAATAATGTCAGGATAATGCTGCAACCATTCTATTTTTCCCTCCGTTTTTTCCAACATAAAAGAAAGTTTGGTCTTGAATAAACAATAATAAATGTAATATTTCCCAACTTGTTACATGAAATAATTAGGACTTAAATACAGAACATCCCAAAGGGCAAGAGAGCAGATACTGCAAAGTCATATACCTTGAAGGGCAAAACTGAACGTCTTCAACAGTATCCTCATGCCCTTGGAAAACACCTCGAGCTTGAACAGTAGGACTATTTGCAGGCAGCTTAGTGCTAGTGGCTCCAGATCCCAGAGGCTTCTTATCACCCTGATCAGTTGCCAAGGTAGAGATATGGTCATGAATGCTCCACAACACTACTGACTTGTCCTTCCCTGCCACAAAAAGTTATGAACAATGGAATACTTTAAGTAGATATACTTGTATACATCCAAAATATCACCAATTGAAGTCTTATACACACACACATTCAAAATATCATTTAAACAGATGAACAACTACTACTTGAAAAATGTATAGACAGCAAAATATTTTGAGATTCAAACTGTCTAACCTCCAGATAGCACAAAGGGCTCCGTTGGGCACATGGCAAGTGCAAATTCAGCATTATCTTGATGACCTGTCAACACCTGCAAGTGACACCAAACTTTAAACCACCTAGTTGGAGAAAAACAAGCATAGCAGAATGATCAAAAGATAACTTGCAAAATCTGAATAAAGTACTTGTATATGATATTTAAATGAGAAACCTTCAAATATAAATTAAATAAATTGTCAAGACTTGAGGCAAAGTAAAAGTGACAATTTGATGGGCTCAGCAATCATGTTAATACTAAGAAACAAATTAACTATGACCTCACATTCTTATATTTTAAAAGAAAGCATACCAAGTCTGGCTTAGAGTCAGAGGCTCCCAAAACAGCATGTCGACTAGGCTGAGACTCAACATCCCAGATGAGAACCTGGTTTAAGAATTTCAAGAAACCATGTAATCACATCAAAGGATCTAGCATTAATAAAAGGGGAGCAGAAGAATAACAAAAAATTGTATGAAAATATCTGTGACAAGCATCAAAAGTTGAAGAATATACTCACATCCGGACTGTCAGTGTGTGTGGCCACTATCTTGCTATTCTGAGGCAATTCCCTGATTCGGTTAACCTGCAATTATTAACAGATTTTTCAAATCAATTCTATGCAAAACCAGATTTCATGTTTCCAGAACTCAATACATCCTTTGTGTTATATAAAGGGTGAATTTCAAATTAGGAGGGGAAAGTGCTACTTCTATTCCTGCAGTGCTCATGCTTTTAAAAGAGTTTTAACTAAAATGGAAAATGAAAACTTTATACCAAACCCAATGCATAATCCAAAATAATAGAAAGTAAAAACTCTTTATTGTTACTAATGTGTAAATTATACTATATATTACGATTTGGTTTCAGTAATTGGAAATGAAACAAAATATGCATACCTCGCCAGGATGTATGATTGTTTTGTGCTTCTTTACAAAAGGAGATCGGGCCTCTTCATTGAACTAGAGCATAGGAAACCAATACTATATAATAAGAAACAGAATAATAAAAGTGGGGAGGGGTGAAAATCGTGGATCTATCATGTAGAAAACCTGTGAGATGTGCTCTGCAGCTGCAACCCTAGGTTTTACAACTTCACAATTTGCAATCACAAGTGTATTTGGAACACTACCATCAGTCTAGCATGGGGAGTCAAGAGAAGAAATAACAAGATATTAGTGTAAATAAACTGTAACTTGAGAAAAAAGCGCCACTCGGTGTGCCTAAAAAAGATACATACAAGGAATTTTCATTATAGAGACCACACAATAAAATGCTAAAAATGTTCCATGCACTTGAAGAGCAGAGGCTGAGAAGTGAAAATTCAAGTATATACTGTAAATTGTAAAAGACATGAATGTAATATTGTGCCATCTTTGGTTGGAATAAGACATTTTTCAACTCTAACAATTATAAAAAAATAACAGCTACATCCTCAAGATTCTTCTCAAAATCAACCAAGAGCACTATCAGGCTTTCAGGCTATCAGCCTCAAGAACAAAGTCTTAATTGCTCAATTAATGGGCACATTCTATAGTTCACATTTTCAAGAAGGAAAATGCTTCCCACCCCTACAAAAACGGATAAACCACTACATATTTGCCACTCCCTAATGTGACAATTTTTGTATGGTTAGTTTTTCCTTTTTTATTTTAAACTTCAATCTATTACAATTGCCACATCAAGGAGTGGCAAAAATGTAGTGGCTTCTGTCTGCACAATCATAATGTCGTCACTTATCTTGTTCTTTTCTTTGTTAGACATTTCCACTGACATCTATTTGGCGTAAATGCGAATAATTTAACACCATGGGAAGTTGCGAACAAAATAAGATCTTTTAAAAAAAATATAAAAAACATTAAGATGACAATTTATTAACTTCCCAAAACAACCAAATAAGCAGTTCCTTGTATTCTCCTCTAGTCTGTCCATCAAAATGAGTACAAGTATATCAATATCTAATAATGAACTTGCTTCAAGTGCCTAATGAACTGCCCATTTTGACCAATAAACCACCATCACTTCAAAAAAACCGCAAAGCTGGACAAGTGTACATCCCTAGCCAGCAAAAGCTCATCTCATCATGGAACTAGTCCATTGCAGCTTCCGTAATAATTAAAAAAGATTTATAAAAAATCAAATAAGTTTGACCACTGCAATGCAACCCACATGCATAGCCATCAAGCTGAGTTAACATAATACAAGTATTTGAAGGGCTTAAGAACATCATCTTACCTGCTCAGAGAGGTAGAGCCGTTGGCGATTCTTGTAAGTTGCTTGCTCCACTTGTGGCCCCCACCTGAGAGAGAGGATGGTGGCTTTAGTTTAATAGGATCACAAACAACATACAAATTCATAGCATATCACAACAATGGTGAAACTTCACGTCATACCATAATGCAGGAGCACAAAACATAAATAAAAATAATAAAAAATTCATAATCCTAAATCTACGATTTAACACAAAATTTGGTTTCTCGAATCCTTGTTATTTCTGAAAACAAATTTCTACAATGCTCACAACTAGGGTTATTAGGGATACAATGCACTAATGCTAGTGATATAAACAATAGACAAAAAGTTTAAAATTAAAAACTCCATGTTCTCTTGCGGTCATTTTTTCCAGGGATCAACCAGGATGCCAAACACAAACACAAGACAAAAAAAAAAAAACAAAAAACAAAAAAAACAACAAATCACCAACTCACAAAGAGCGAAAAAAGGAATCACATTATAAATTCTGAAAATGATCAAACCCTAGAGAGAGAGAGAGATGCAGGACCTGCAGGAAAGAGATGGCCATACAAGATTGTGGTTAGCAAGCCAGTCATAGAGAACGGGAACTAGAGACTTCCACTGTGTGTAGCGCTCGTTAACCGACGGCTGACCCCCTTTTCCGGTTCTCTCCTTCATCTTCTCCCCCTGGCCCTCCCTGGATTGCAATCTCTCTCTCTCCGGAACTTTCTCCCACAGTCTCGCTTTTGGATTTCCCGCGTTGCTCAAGCGCAAACCACTGCTACGCTGCCCTTCCACTTAGGCACTTGTGGCCTTTTCCCACGGTTTATCAGGTTCCTCACTGTAATTTACAGACATATAATAAGAGTAATTTTCAATTTTGTTCACTTGATTATAGGTCCTGTTAATTACAGTTCATTTCTTTAAAGAGTGTTAATTTAGTACATTGACTATATAAATTTTATCAATTTTGATCACTCCGATCAAATTGTCCGTCAAATCTCACATGAAAATTTTAATAGGTCAAATAATGAAGATATTTTAGTCATTTTGCATGCCCATACATGAGGGTCAGCGCATATAGCGCTAACACCGCCCCACAGCACCCTGCCTCATACCGCAGTATGAAGGGGTTGGCTGCAGTATGAAGGGGTTGACCGCAGCCAACCGATGAACCACAGCTCATCAAACCGTTGGCGAGCCCAACGGTGGATCGCAGCCCAAAAAGTGTGCCACTGACCGCAACTAGGATTATGAACCGCAGCTCATGTAAAACCGTTGGCGAGCCCAACGGTGGACCGCAGCCAAGAGTGTGTCACTGACCGCAGCCAGGATTATGAACCGCAGCCAATATTGGGGAGTCATGCACACATAACACATAGCAAGCACATGCAACCCACACTAACACATTGGGAAAGGGGAGAAAACGTATAATGAAACATATGCGTGGTTATCCACATACTATGAATAGTCCTAAGGGGTTCATACTTCTTTCACCTAGGCCAATGGGGTACCAATTCAACTAGCATGCAATATATAAGACTCTTTTACCTTACGAACGGTACCCGAAACGTTAAACTATATTTAGGCATGATAAACGGAGTCCATTGGGACACCACGAGGGTCGAGGAAACATCAAACGGGGAACCCAACATCCTGAGGTGGGGACAAACCAGCGGGTGGCCGACGGGTGGAGGTCTACCCGCCGGCGGCGAGAAACCGGGCAGCGGGTGCCTGGCGGGCAATCGCCTGCCCGCTGTCGGCGACGCCAAATTTGGCAACGGGTAGGTGGCGGGTTCCCCTACCCCACCTACCCCCCACTGACTCTTTTTCAATAATAGGGTCCCGGGATCTTTTGTGTAACCCGAAACCATGTTTAGACACTTTTAAACATAAACGACGGCACCACGTAGTCAAACAATGGATCAAAACCAAGAATCATATTGAATACATCCTAACATGACTTCTAAACATAAGTAACACCCGAACATGCGAAATCCCTCCCAATTATATCAAGAATATTACAATACAAAATTCCCAATTTAGCCTAAGTCTCTAATCATATTTAAATCATCAAAATCATAGTTTCATCTTTAAAATCAAGAACATCAAGATTTATCAAGAACATCACATAATTATCAAGATCCTCTTATAATCCTCAAGATTATCAAGATCAACACATAAGATCATTTCATCAATCATCAAGATCATATCATAATTATTATAGAATATTTATCAAGACACAAGCATATAGAAGGAGTCAAAGAAGAAGATTATAGCAAGGAAAATATGTTTTGTTGAGACATGGGTTACCTCTTAGCCTTAATTAGATTCCTTGGCTATAAATGTTCTTTCTCTAAGATCTCCTCTTCTTAATTTCTCCTGTAACATCCCGAAATTTGAAACTTTTTAAACTTATATAATAAAGGTAAATCCTCATTAAATCCTGAAATCAAACATAAGAGTATGGGGTGCTATGCCACACCTGAGCTAGAGAACTCAGGTGCACAGGCTAACTAACTGAAATCCTCAAAGTAATGTCAATACATAAGCATGGCACGTAGGCCGAAGGGGAACTAACTAATCTACGCTTCGGATCTCTAGCGCGCTCTGGGGTCTACTCATCTGTGCCTGAAAGCCAAATATATCTGTTCAACGAGAGATGCTGGTAACCCACTCCAACGCGTTGAAATACAATATAGGTATATATATAGATATAGATATAGGAAAATCATTTTGAAGCAGGAAGATATATACTTAGGAGACTCTAGGTTTAAAACCAGGAATAGACTCAGCAACTAGGGACGAGCACATTAATCTATGATAAACAGTTAAGTAGAGTTAACATCATAAGGAATACGCATCTAAGGTCACAGATCACTTTTCAATTCAAACACATCATCATCCAAACATCATTCATATCACATAATCATTGATGGCGCCACAGGACCAATCACATGCCCCGAACATGAGGGTTAATGCATATAGCATTAACACGGCCCCGCAGCACCCTACCTCATACCGCGGCATGAAGGGAGTTGATCGCAACCAACCCTTTTAAGGACCGCTGACGAACTCAATGTCGGACCACAATCCTACACACCACTGACGCGCACAGTCGGTGGACTGTGATCCCCTTTACAAGGGGGGACATACGACCCTACACACCGTTGATAGGCACAGTCGGTGGACCGTAGCAGATCAAGCCTTACACACCGCTGAGGGACTCAGTCGGTGGGCGAAGATCCTCGGAGACTACGACCCTACACACCGCTGGCCCATCACTCGGTGGATCGTTGCCAGCCGTAGCCCTACACACCGCCTAATTACTCAGGTCGGTGGACTACAGCCTTCCTAGGCTTATTGGCCCTACACACCGTCTGGCGCGTCCAGGTCGGTGGGTCATAGCACCGAGGCCCATGTGGACCGCAGCCCAAGAAGTGAATCACTGACCGCAGCCAGGAGGATGAATCAATTCGGCCTTCAGCCAACTTCTGAACCTTAGCTCAGGAACAGTCAATTCGGCCTTCAGCCAACTTCCGAACCGCAGCTCGGGAACACCCAATTGGATCGCAACCAAATTGGGGGATCATGCATCACATAACACATAGTAGCACGTAGTAGCACATTGGGAGGGGAAGACATATAAATAAACTTACGTGTGATCATTCACATACTAAGAATAGTCCTAAGGGGTTCATACCACTTCCACCTAGGTCAACGGGTTACCGATTCAACTAGCATGCAATTACTAAGACTCTTTTATCATACGAATGGTACCCGAAATATCAAACTAGACTCAAGCACGACAAACGGGGTCCGTTGGGACACCTTGGGGAGTAGGGAACATCAAACGGGGAAGCCGAAGACCCGAGGTGGGTACGGACCAGCGGGTAGCCGATGGGTGGGGGTCACCCGCCGGAGATCACTGTTCGGGCAGCGGGTTGCCGGCGGGCAGGCGGCTGCCCGCTGCCTGGCGGTGATCTTCGGGCAGCGGGTATGTGGTGGGTTCCCCTACCCCACCTACCCCCGCTGACTCTTTTATCACAAATTCATCCTGGGATCCGTTTTGAAACCCGAAACCATGCTTAGATACTTTTAAACGCAATTAACGACACCACATAGGCAATTAATGGATCAAAAAGCAAGAATCACGTAGAACTCATCCTATTACGACTTCTAAACATAAACAACACCCGAACATGCGAATTGCCACCCAAATATATATCAAGAACATCACAACACAAATTCCCAATCCAACCTAGGGCTCTAATCCCAAACCATCAAAAATCATATTTTATCAAGAAATATCAAGATTCGTCAAGAATCATCACATCAATATCAAGAACCTCTTTTCAACATCAAGATCATCAAGATTATCAAGAATACACATAAATTATCTTATCAATCATCAAGAACATATAACAAATAGCATAGAGGAAATTCATCAAGACACAAGCATATAGAAGGAGGCCAAGGAAGGAGATTATAGCGAAGAAAATAGGTTTTGTTGAGACATGGGTTACCTCTTAGCCTTAATTAATTTCCTTGGCTATGAAGGGTCTTTCTTTAAGATTTCTTCTTTCTTGATTTCTCCTAAGGGAATTCTTGGAACTTCTTGTGTGGTGAGAGATTATTGTGGTGTGAGTTCTAGGTGCCTCCTATGACCATATATACATACATATATATATATATATATATATATATATATATATATATATATATATATATCTCAGAGTCCTAATTGGGGTCTAAATGGTATGGGTTTGTTACTTCTATTTCCTATAGGACTAGGGGATTGGTTTTAGGGATAGGGGTTTATGGCTTATGGTGGACCCTTCCTAATTAGTTAATGAAATTTAATTCTTTCTTTTTGGGTAAATGATTAAATAGTTAGGGATCGTAACACGGGGTGTTACATCTCCTACGGGGAATCCTTGTGATTTCTTGTGTGGTGATATCTATTGTAGTGTGAATTCTAGGTGCCTCCTATGCCCCTATTTATATATCTAAGAGTCCTAATTAGGGTCTGAATGGTATGAGTTTGCTAGTTCTATTTCTTATAGGACTAGGGGATTGGTTTAGGGACAAGGGTCCATGGTCTATGGTGGACTCTTCCTAATTAATCAATGGAATTTAATTCTCTTTTTTAGGGTAAGTAATTAAATAATTAATTGGTTTAGAGGTCGTAACATGGGGTGTTACAGCGTTGCTCAATGTTTGGGCGACCTGAGTCAACTGTTGTAGGTTCTGAGTTAACGAATATTGGGTAGAAGGCTCGGGGGTCCTTGACTGGTTCCTTGTTGGCGACATTCCAGTGTCTACATGATTAGCACCGATTGTAATGGTAAGTTAGTGATTCGCATCCTTACCTTTATGATATACTTTATGGGAAACCTTCAAGCTAAGCACAAAATAGATTAAGGAAGAGTTAAGCAGATAACGGTAGATAAACTCACAGTCTCGCCGCATGCCCTAGGCTTCCTAGATCCTATGTACTTTAAGTATCATGAGTCCGAACTTAATGTCCTAGAGTCTTGTCTTAAGGGTCTTTTCCTAGGGTCGAACTTAGGCTCTGATACCAACTGTAACACTCCTAAATTATTAAAACTTTTAATGCATGTGAAATAAAACCAAATCCAACATTACCAAACAGAGCATAACTAAACATAAGAGTCGGGGTGTTATGCCACATCTAAGCTAGAGAACTTAGATGCAAATGCTAACTAGCTAATCAAGATGTAAATTCATGAATCCATAAATGAGTACAAATCAAGGCACGCGGGCCGTCTAACTAGAATCTACGACTATCTAGGCTAAGTCCGAGGGATCCAACTAGCGCGCTCTG